CATTGATGTACTAATAACACTAGGGCATTTTAACCATTGCCCCTGAGATTTCCCTGGGGATTATTTTGTGGTGATTGTCAGATGATCCCTGTAGATTTCAGGGTTCAAGAACATATCAGGAAAGTATCTCAAGGGCATTTCCAAGTGTGTATTCAGAGAATCTTGGGAGTTCTGAGCTGTCCATCATATATTAGGAAGTGTCACCTGGGAGCAGTGGTTGTAGCATGGTTTGTGCATCCATGGGAGGCTCTCTAGGATCCTCAACACAGCTGTAGGGAGGACTGGGGGAATCCAGGGGATTTGTAATGGTATTTGTTACATGCTTTCTGGGACCCTCAAGCGACACCAAGGTTATCTGTAGTGCTGTAAGTGGTGCTGCCTGGGGCATCTGACCTGGGTTCTGCAAGGAATCAAGCTGGCAATTTGGGGAATGTGTCAGGGTTGTGGGATCACATCACTAAATCTTCAAGGGAAAGTCTGGGGACTCCTGAGGATACTTGAATATTGGCCTTGAGGACCACAATGTAGAGGCACTCAGGAACTGAGGAGGATTCAGCTCTATGTACATCTGAGTGAACTCAGATGGACAGAGTTTAAAATAAGCTCCCTGGAAGACACAGACGTCCTCACAAGTAACTCATTTTCATAAGGCCAGGCAAGGGGAGAGTCGTGGTGTCTCTGGTTTGTCATGCATTCCCACAGGGATTGTCTGCTGCCTTCCTTCTTAGTGACGGGCTCCATGTCGTGTACTTGACCCTTCTCTTGATGGATTCTGTGGGCATGTGTGAGGGTTGCCGTGGGATGTGTGTGTGGCCTCTCTGGCAGCCCAGGAAGCGTATCAGTAGAGAGCCTCTGGTGTGTGCACACAGAATCCATAGGAGATTTCAACGAAGGCAGCTGAGTGTGGCCCTGCTGAGCCTCCCAGCTCTCCAGTGGTAGGGGAGTGTCCAGGGGAAATAGGAAGGGGGCAACTCTGGGAACGCGTGGCAGGGTGTGTCCAGTGAGATGTTGCTGATGAATTGGAGGGTGCATTTGCGACGCACACATTGTTCCCGAGTGTGCCTTGCAAGTGTTTCAGCATGAGCTTCTCTGAGTTTGTCCTAGCGTGTCTCTTGCCCATTTGGCAGCACATATCTGTGGTACCTCAGCAAGGACCCCAAGGTCCTGTGGAAGTCCTCACTGCTGCCTGTGGAGGTGGCCAGTTCTAGAATGGTTTGTATGGTCATCTCTGGGTGTGTTTTAGATTATCAGATTTTGCCACGCACAAGCCCATGGGCAAAGCTGTGGAATCCCTGATAGTGTATTTAGGGTGTTGCCTTGGTGTCTCCAAGTGCTTCTCCATGGTGGTGCAGTACATCCATCTAGAGCTCTAGGTTCTCTCTGAGTGTGTCACAAAGAACCATGTTGTCTCTGTGACATTGAGGGTGTTTCTAGTGTTTTTAGGAGGCAATATGTGCATTGGTGGGACCTGCCCTGGGACTTTGAGAATGATTCTACTCATCTCTAGGGTGCCTTCAGGAATATTCAGAAGGACTGTCTGGTGGCACGTCTCTTAATTGCATGTCCTGTGGTGCATGCCTGGATACTTCTTAGAGTTGGCCCATATTCTGTTACTTGAAGGTGAATGACTTCTGTTCTTTGCATGTGTGGTACATTGGCTTGTATTTCCAAAAAAGCTCCTGAGGCAGCCCTACTGCTCAGTTTGACAATTTTGTCATGGACTCTGGGAAATGGGGGTTTTTGTGGCATGTCTCTCATGGATTTGGTTTTTCTATTATGCTTAAAGGATTGATATGGCTATGGCACCAGAACATCACAGGCATTGTCCCTGAGTCTTCCCTGGGCTTCCTGTTGAAGTGGCTGTCAGATGACCACTGTGGATTTAATTTCACTGTTCAAGGAAGGCATTTAGAAGGCATGTCATAGGCATTTCCATTTGTGCATTCAGAGCATCTTGTTGTCCATCATCTATTTGAAAGTCTCATGTGGGGACTTTTTTTGCTTTTTTTTTTTTTTTTTTGGTGTTGTATGTGCCTCTATGGAAAACTCTATAGGCCCCTTCATAGGGAAGGATTGCCCGAGGGCATTTCTGTTACTGGCCTAAGGGATTTTCATTTCCATAGTTCTCACCAAAGATTTCCCCTGGACACTCCTCTTCCACCTGAGGCCTGAGAGGCTCAGCCCCCTTTGTGAAATCGGCTATGGATTCTGTGCGCACACACCAGAGGCTCTCTACTGATATACTTCCTGGGCTGCCAGAGAGGCCACACACACATCCCAAGGCAACCCTCACACATGCCCACAGATTCCATGTAGAAAAGCGCCGAGTCCATCTTAGGGACCCTTATCTATAAAGCAATGTACTAGGGAATCCCTGTGGGAATGCATGATAATCCAGCGACACCACCACTCTAGCATTGCCTTTCCTTATTCCAATTGGTTACTAGTGAGGACGTCAGTGTTTTCCTAGGAACCCTGTACCACATCTCTCCACCTGAGGACACACAGATTTTCCTAAAGATGAGTCCTCTCAAATTCCTTAGGGACTCCTCAGAATGGCCTTCAGGAACGATATCAAGTCATCTTCAGTTGTTCCCAGACTCTGCCTTAATGCTTTAGGGAGTCCACATTCCTGAAACAAGTCTCAGTATTGCCAGCTTGATTTTTTTTTTACACAATCCAGATAAGATGCTCACAGGGACCCTCACACATGGTGTTGACAAGCCTCAAACTACTCTGAGGTTCCCTGTAGCCATGCAACAAACATTCGCTCTTTGCCGTTCTGCATCTTTGAACTTGGTTCACTGAAGTCGAGTATGACACATGTGGACTACTGACTTGTTGGCAATAGCTGAAATTTATTAATAGCGTCAGTGGTTACGCAAGTTTTAGAAAGGGGGTTTTGAGGAATTTACATTCCAGCTGCAGGCAGGAGTCTGCTAATACACAATTTGTACGTATAGCTTTTTCCTTTCCTCAGTGTTTTAAATTTCTGTTTCCCTGTTTGAGGTAGGAAGTATCTGTCTTTGATCTACTGTGTCAATCTAAGGACTAAGTAGTTTCTTGCCTGTTCATTTCTGTATTAAATGTTCCTTTGGGACTTCCTGGATGAATTATAACTAGCTCTGGGTCCACATTGGGAAGGATTCCCAGTTTCCTATCTTTAATCCATTGTTTTTCTACAGATGTGATCAGTTTTCCTCCTACAGATTCCTGTTCTGTTTTGTAAATTAGGCCTGAGGTAGGTAGCTATGGAGAACATGCTCTTGGAGGGACAGGAAATGGGGAAAAGCAATGTTTTATATTGCACATATGTAACTTCACCAGGGGCCAGAGTTCCTAACTGCCTATTATCCCACATACTCCTCAACATTCCTTCCCCCAGTATAATGGATCCTGACTGCTGTCAGGATTAGGGGCTGATGATCCCTCTGCCTGGTATATGCTGACAGGGGTGAAGAGAGGGAGCCACAGCAGCCAGACATTCTTCAGAAGTGTGGATCTGGAGGTAGTTTGTAGAAAGTAGAAATCATCAGGTGTCTAAAGTTCTGCTTGGAGCTTGGAGGCTTCTCTTTGTTGAACTCTAAAGAATAAAGCATAACATAGTTATAATTTCTCCTGATAGACCCTGATATTCACAGAAAGAGAGTAAAGGAAGCCACAGCTAGAGCTAAGTAGGGACCAGAGCAAACTGTTCTGTGTCCAGAAGGAAATTTGCAGGTTTCCTTTGCACTCTGGGAAACACCCAGGGCTCCTGGTTGCTATCCATTGCATCAGCAGACCCTGTGTGGAGAGCCCTGTGTTGCTTCAGTCCCATGCATAAGAGTCAATAGGAAACGGTGACTTCGGAATTCGCAGCCTTCGAGGGCTGTCAGAATTTCAGTGATCTCCTTGGCAGTTGGGACATGGTTCTTGGTGTCCTTTCAGAGAATCCTTAATGGAGTATCCACTGCTTCTGCAGCAAAGGCACCTGGAAGGCCACGGGGGTCTTACTGGGACCAGGGATACAGACCTCCTTTTATCCTCCTGCTTTGCTATGGAATGCCCTCCTGCTCTGTGCACATGACCACCTATAAGATATTGTCAGGGTGCTCTCAGGTCCCACTGAAAGTCTCTATCAATTTTCTTAATGTCCAAAGGTAGTTAAGAATTTGTTATTGATAAATCACCTGTTAGAATCTTAATAGATTATACTTAAAGTCTTCCTTGAACATTCTAAAAAAGTGGAGGATTTCTCTGCACCTCTGACCTATTGTGGAAGAATGTTAGTTTAGCAAGCCTTATTTATGAACATCTTATCTGTAAGTTAATTAAAAGTAAATCAGGTTTTTCCATCCTTTAAGTCAGTTCTGTTGGAATACCATGTTTTCCAGGGCAGGTTTATATTCAAGGGAGTTTCTGCACTTCTGAGACCAGATGAGCTATAGGGAAACCCAAAGTGTTTTGGAGGATCCGTCAGGAAATTCTAAAGAGACAAATGCATAACTTTTGTCACAGGTTATTAGTGTTCCACAATACTAATCATTCAGTAGTTTCGCCCACACAGGGATTTGTAAAGCCTTATTAGAGAATGTAGAAAAATCTTTGCTAGCAGGACTATTAATGTTTCCTTGAGGCAATTTTTAAAAAATAAGCATTAAAAATGTTATAGACAAAGTGTCTGTGGAGGGCATGCACCTTTATTTATTTGTTTATTTATTTGTTTGTTTGTAAATAGTTGGCTTTTCAGGGTGTACACATTCAACAAGTCTGAGCTACCAGGTTGCTTACTTTCAGGAACAATATCAAAAGAAAACTACGAAATAACAGTTTCATAAAATCTTTACCCCAAATTCCAATACCTGCTACAAGTTGGAGTTAAGAACACAAGCTAGTTCGCCCCACGTGCCCGTCTCCGGTCGCGGGCCGCTGCTGCCAGGGATGTGGAGCTTCATGGAGAGTGCCGGGCCCCTGGCACGCCCTCCCTGCTGTGTACTTCGGGGGGCTTGGGGGTAGGTGGATCTGTAATAAAGAACCCAGCCTACCAGGAGAGGGGGAAGGGAGGAGTTGAACTCTGAGGAGCTGGAACCCAAGAACCATGTCTACGCGGGAAACCTTTAACCCAGAAACTTATGAATTGGACAAGAGCTTCCAGCTAACCAGATTCACAGAACTGAAGGGCACAGGCTGCAAAGTGCCCCCCAAGATGTCCTACAGAAGTAGCTGGAATCTTTACAAGAAAACCACTTCCAAGAAGATGAACAGTTTCTGGGAGCTGTCATGCCAAGACTTGGCATTGGAATGGATACGTGTGTCATTCCTTTGAGACATGGTGGGCTCTCCTTGGTTCAGACCACGGATTACATTTATCCTATCATAGATGACCCTTACATGATGGGCAGAATAGCATGTGCCAATGTCCTCAGTGACTTCTATGCCATGGGGGTCACGGAATGTGACAATATGCTGATGTTCCTCGGGGTCAGTAATAAAATGACCGGCAGGGAAAGGGATAAAGTGATCCCCCTAATTATACAGGCCTTTAAATATGCAGCAGAGGAAGCAGGAACGTCGGTAACAGGTGGCCAAATGGTATTAAACCCCTGGATCATTTTGGGAGGAGTCGCTACAACTGTCTGCCAGCCCAATGAATTTATGATGCCAGATAATGCAGTGCCAGGAGACGTGTTGGCGTTAATGAAACCCCTGGGGACACAAGTTGCTGTCGCAGTGCATCAGTGGCTGCACATTCCTGAAAAATGGGATAAAATTAAATTAGTGGTCACCCAAGAAGATGTGGAGCTGGCTTACCAGGAAGCGATGATGAATATGGCCAGGCTCATCGGAACAGCTGCAGGACTCATGCACACATTCAACGCCCATGCTGCTGCCGACATCACTGGCTTCAGGATTTTGGGCCACGCACAGAACCTAGCCAAGCAGCAGAGGAACGAGGTGTCATTTGTGATTCACAACCTTCCTGTGCTGGCTAAGATGGCTGCTGTGAGCAAAGCCTGTGGAAACATGTTTGACCTCATGCATGGGACCTGCCTGGAGACATCAGGAAGCCTTCTAATCTGTTTACTACGTGAGCAAGCAGCTCGGTTCTGTGCAGAGATAAAGTCCCCCAAATATGGTGAAGGTCACCAAACATGGATTATTGGGATTGTAGAGAAGGGCAACTGTACCGCCAGAATCATAGACAAACCCAGGATCATTGAAGTCGCACCACCTGTGGCCACTCAGAATGTGAGCCCCACGCCCGGTGCCACCTCTTAATCTAGGCAGAGGTAGCTGTTTGTTTTTGTTTTTAAATAGATTTATTTCCTTTATCATCACTTCAATTAAAGACTATAAACAACAACAAAGATCTCATTGTGTCTACACAGCTGGTGACCGTAGGTCGAGACGTGAGTGGATACAATTAATAAAACCCATGGCCTTTTTTTCCTGTTCCATTGACTGAAGATGCACCTAATCTCGAGGCAGCTTCTGAGTTGAGAATTATATTGTTATCCAATACTGTTGATTCATTTTGAATCTTTAGACACTTATCTCTTGCCGCATAGGCTCTTTTTAAAGGTGCTTTCATGTAGCACAGACACTACCAGTAAGTAGTGTCTGAGAGCAGTTTGTGTCTTCGTTTTACGTGTATTTATAGTAGAAGTCTCATTTTTTAAGTGTCTTGAGTGGCATTCTGGAAAGAAAGATTTGGTAAGTGTGACATGATGGCTTCCAAGCTATAGGAAGGTTGCATGATTGCTCTGAGTCGGATCACCCAAGAGCATCTCTCCGGCCCAGGACATCCTGCAGCAGTGCATTTAGTTCAGCAGGTCAAGTGCTTGACTTTGCATGAAAAGCACTTTGAAGATGAAAAAAAAATTTTATTTCTTTTTTTTTTGTAGCCTTCCTGGTATTTACAGTAGTATCATTAATTATTTTATCAGTAGCCAAAAAAAAAGGATACTTTTTGCAATGTAATTAGATGTTCTATAGTGCAATGAGGAATTGCCTTCCAAAAGGGGGTTCGTGTATAATAGTCATTTGCGATTCAATATGTAATTACACAAATAATTTTTAAATATAATCAACAATAAAGACTGTTGTGGATGGTAGTGTTGAATATATTTTATATTTTGTATAGTGATCACAAGCCTTTTGTTAAAATCAGCAGCTTATTTAGCCTAATTCTTAGCATTATTTTGCCCCTTGCACCAGTCCTTTTGTTGTGCATGCATTTTGTGATCTGTGTTAAAAACTGGCATTGCTAACATTGCAGCTCAAACAAAAACTTGTTATTCAAATAAATATTTAATTAAAAAAAACAGAGCACAGGCTAACAATTACACTCAATTGTACACTATAGAGAGCAATGAAACCATAACATGAGTAACTTTTTTGATTGGTAAACTGGAGCACAAATACATCTGTGACTTAAGATATTTTAAAAACAGCCAAGTAGAAATTTAGGTTACGTGAATCAAAGAAATCTGTGTTGATTTAGCAATCTTAATTCAGGGCAAACCAATGAATCAATTGCAGCAATAGTTTAAGATCTTTTTATGCATTTAAAAATGATAACCACTTGATTAGTTACTTCATGTTCTCAATAGCATAAATTTGCCTTTTTTTTCAAATGATTTACAAGTGTGGGTAGAACAGAATACAAAAGTGTGGCTTACAAGAAAGATTTTAAACAATTAGATCTCACAATGTTGTGGCTGGAACCGTAGAAATCAACAAGAAGAGGCACCTTTTATTCCACATGGTATTTGAAACAGACACAACTACTCTTTTATTTTGACCAATATAAACTTATTAATTGTATCAAGATGACTTAAGGATCATAGAAACAAGCACATTTATTCTTTCAAAATATTTTTTTCTGTTACAGAAAAACTCAAAAGCTAGTTCACAGTAAGTAAGAAGTATAACATTTCCTGACCAGAAAAACATACAGTAATGCATGGTAACAATTTTGAGATTTTCCTAAAGTAACTCTAGCTGGAAGAGTGGCATAAACCTAAAATTTATTGTGAGATCATTCCTTATTCAATCTCAAGGGGCATTGAAGCCAAGCAGTGTTTTTTTTTTTCTTTTGCAATATACATATACACCCCAGGGAACTGTGAATAGAGAACTCGGATTAGCAATTATTATCTGATCACCACACATGTAGAATCAGTTTTAACAAAAAGACAGACACATGACAATTATATACAATCCAGACAAGTGGACACAACACACAATGCAAAAACCTGATTGGTCATAACAAAGTCTCGAATGGACACCGAAGTGGTGGTTATTGGGCTATTTAGATTGTTAAATTACTTCTTGATTCAATTTTGGTGGATTGTATGTGTCCAAAAATCTACCCATCTGCTCTAGGTCTTCTCATTTGTTCCCATATAGTTGCTTGCAATAGTTCTTAATAGTTCTCTGTTTGTCTGAGGTATCTGTTGTTATATTTCTTTTCTCATCTCTGATACAATTGATGCATATTTTCTCTCTCCTGTTTTTGATTAGTTGGGCTAGTGGGGAGTCTATTTTGTTAATTTTCTCAAAGAACCAGCTCTTTGATTCATTGATCTTACGCATAGTTTTCTTGGTCTCTATTTTGTTTATTTCCTCCCTTATTTTGATGATTTCTTTTTTCCTACTACTCTTGGGATTGCTTTGTGTTGCTTTTCTACTTCCTTCAGCTGTAAGTTTAGCTGATTTATTTGGTGCTTTTCTAGTTTCTTGACATAAGCACTGATTGAAATGAACCACCTTGATTGTGCTCCATAAGTTTTGATATGTTGTGTTGATGCCTTCATTTGTTTGAAGCAATTTTTAAATTTCCCCTTTGATTTCCTCTCTGGCCCATTGCTTGTTTAGTAACATATTATTCAGTCTCCACGTGTTTGCAAGTTTACTTTGGTATTTTGACTTCTTGGTCTCTAACTTCACTCCTTGATGATCTGAGAAGATGCATGGTATGATTTCCACTTTTTAAAATTTGCTGAGGCTTGTTTTGTGACCCATAACTTGATCAGTTCTGGAGAGGGTTCCATGTACTGATGAGAAAAAGGTGTATTCTCTGTCAGTAGGACAAAAGGCTCGATAGAAATCAACTAAGTCCATTTGCTTTAAAGTTTGTGTGAGTTCTGTTGTTTCTTTGCTGAGTTTCTGGTTTTTTGATCTGTCCACTGATGTTAAAAGGGTAATAATGTTTCCCACTATGATCATATTGGAATCTGTTTCTCCCTTTAAAACTGTTAATATTTGTTTCATGTAGCTAGATGATTTTGCATTTGGTGCGTGTACATTTATTATGCTGATCTCTTCTTGCTGAATGCATCCTTTGATCATTATGTAGTATCCTTCTTCATCTCTTTTAATCCTCTTCACATCAAAGTCTATATCATCTGATATAAGAATGGCTACACCTGCACGTCTTTCCTTAACATTTGCTTGGAATATCTTTTTCTATCCTTTCCCTTTCAATTTCCTCTGATCTTTGTTGGTGAGATGTGTCTCCTGTAAGCAGCAAAAGATAGCTGGGTTTTGTTTTTTGATCCAGTCCTCTAATCTATGGCATTTGACTGATGAGTTTAAGCTGTTTACATTCAGTGTTATTATGGATAAGGGGCTGTTTGGTCCTGTCATTTTAGTGATACGTTGTTCTTTTTTTTTTTTCTGGTTCACTTTTCTTTTTTTTTTTTTTCAATTTTTTATTTTTTTAAATTATTGATTACATTGTATTATGAGACACAGTTCCATAGGTACTGGGATTTCCCCTTCCCCTCCCCCAACTCTCCCCCCATGGTGGACTCCTCTACCTTGTTGCATTACCACAGTTCAAGTTCAGTTGAAACACCTTCATTGTAAGCATATACCAAGCATAGAGTCCAGCATCTTATTATCCAGATAAGTTCATCTGCTTCTTCGGGAGACCTTCTCTGGGCTGAAGGTAGGGCCAAGAGAGCAAGATCCCAATCAATTAAAAGCCCCAGCAGCAACAATATATATCGTTATGGAATTAATTGACATAGTGTTGAGTAAACAATATGTTAAAATTACATGTAAGTTCTTAACAACCTCCTGCGACTATTTCAATGACATTTTAACAATTGAGGTGCATAACAGTTTTAGGAGGGGTATGCAGAGAAATCTTTCATACCTTGGTGAGGAGTACTTGTTCTTTGTGTTCTACCTAGTAGGGTATGTGTGAGTCCATGATGACCAATCTTTCTGTTGTTCTCTGCTTATCTATTCCAATTTGTGTGTGTATGTGAGTGTGTGTGTGCGTGGGTGTGTGTGTGGGTGTGTGTGTCTGGGGGGGCGGGTATGGAGCGACCCTGTTGGTCATTGTAGAGGGTGGGGGCCCAGAGCTGGAACTAAGTAAGGGCTGGAGAAAGCTCCTCTCCCTAGTCCCGAAGGAAGTTTATTGTTCTTCTGATTCTGAGGACTGCTCGTGGTTCCTGGCAGTTGTTCCGATGCCTTTGGATCCTATGAGGAAGGACTTGGGCTTTTTCCATCTCGTGTAGTAGGTCCAAAGAGGGGAGATGGATGTCCTCTGTGTTCTCGGCCTCCGAAGGCATTCTGTTTCCCCGTGCTCTCTTTGGCAGTTGTGATGAAGTCCTTGGTACCCGTTCTGATAGACCTTGGTGGGAATCCAGGAGTCCCTGTGATTGGGATACAAGTCTCCTCCTGTCCTGCTGCTCCGCTCTGGGGCTCTCCCCTATTCTGTGCATATGACCCCCTGATAATAGACTATTAGGGTAGCTCCTGATTCCCCCTGAATGTCTTTGTAGTTTTTACTATTGTCTAATGCTGTTCTGAATCTATCGTCTATAAGTTGCCTGTCCAGTTTCTGTAGGTTACACTACACAGCTTCCTCACACATTCAAAGGAGATAAGAGATTTCTCTGTGCTCCCACCCAATTTCTGTGTATCACAAGGTTTTGGGAGTGTATTGGGTATTACAATCATTCAAAACACGTGGGATGAGACTGTATTAGTTGCAGGTTCATCTGAGGAAGATTTACCGTCATTGGAAATCTTTAGGGTTGTTTCTCATCCCCAAAGCACTGTGGGTTCGGCATGGAGCTGTCTGAGCAGCATTCAGCAAACCAAAATCCCAGGGCTCCCTGGCCGGGTGGCCAGCAGGCGGAGCCTAGCGCCAGCTGGTGCACTGGCCGCCCAGAGCGGCTCCCCATGTGGGTGTGGGAGCTGCCTTGGTGCTTACCAGGTTAGGAATGGCCACATGGCGGCTGAGGGACCAACACCCCAGGTCTAGGCTCCACCCCTCCCCCGGCCATGTCCTCGGCTCAAGCCATGCCCCTGGCGACCCGCAGGACCACGCAGAGCCACACAGAGCCCGCCCAACGCCCCTCCCAAAGGCGGGCCGTCCACGGGACTCCCAAAGGCGGGCCGTCCACGGGACTCCGGCAAGCCTGGAGCAGCTCCCCATGTGGGCTGGGAGCCACCTTGGTGCTTACCAGGTTAGGAATGGCCGGACCCAGGGACCCCCAGCCGCTACTTGGCCAGTGATGTGCTGTTCTATGAGTCTTCTGTTAGCCTTTTAGTGAGATGTTCTCCAAATTTGCCTTAGTTTTTGGTTGTT